GAGACTTCGAAGCTCTACATGGTCTGTACCCTGGTGCCCTTTTTAGTGTATCTCTTACCATTTGTGTCTTGCCAACAATGATGTCCTGTCTTCAATATTTTGAGGCAGTTTAGTTTCTCCAGAACAGCATATATTCCCACTGTTTCATGGATTCCACTTTATCAAGTCAGTCCTTTTCTTCTTATTTTGCCCTTGGGAAAAGATCCTGTTAACTTTATATGCATGCATACTTGGAAATCCAGGATTTAAGCTTAGAACACTGGTTAGTAATCAACCATAAATCAAATCCATTGCATTTGCAGCCACAGAATCATTACCTTGGTGATGAATATTGTTGTCAGAAATATTGACCTTTATCTGGTAGGTAGAGAACATTGCCTTGATGCCCCAATTGATATCTCCCTCAGGTCGAAGAAGGCTGTTGCTCTGTAGCACATAGGCATTTATTTGTGCATGTGTCTTTAGATGAACTGTCAAGACAGGAAAAGGAAGTGCAGAGAGAGTGCATGGCAGAGCATGTGTGATGGGCAAGTTCCCCGCCTCCACCTGTTTTCAATGACATGTGTATGAGTTAACACTCATGTGAAGTCTGCTTGCTGCGTGGCAGATAAACAAAGTCTATACTGAAGACCTTTTTTAGAGGGTAGGGGTGGAGAGAATATAAGGCAAGACATAGGAGAAGGACAAAAAGTAGCAGCATTATACCTTACAGAATCATAACATTACTCTGTAGCTAGAATAATTAATAATTAATTAATATTAACATAATAATTACTAAATCATAGTTAATATGTAGCTAGAATAATTTAGCCTCTGACATAACTGTGACTTTGAGACTCCAAGTCAAAGGCTATGAATGAATACACCTTCGCCTCTTTCCTCTGCTGCATGTGCCCACTGCATGTGGCTTCCCTAAAGAGCACTTTAGGACTTAGAAAACCTGCATGAAAAGCTACGAGTTTCCTAAGGCTATCATTATAAAGTATCACAAAAAGGGCGACTTTATGTAACAGATATAATAAATATTGTTGTTGTAGTTAAGTTCTATCAAGTATGAACCATATAGCAACTCTATAAAGAACAGGTATGAACCCTGTCCTATCGTGTGCCACCTCCCTCACAATCTCTGACATGCTTAAGCTCATTGCTGCAGTCACTGTGTCAATCCATTTGGTTGAAGGTCTCCCTCTCTTTCACCGTCCCTCTAGCTTTTCAAGCATAATGCCCCTCTTCAAGGAATAGCTTCTCCCAGTAACATGCCCGAAGTATGTGAGACAAAGCTTTATCACCTGTGCCTGTAAGAAACATGCTGATACATAGACTTTAAAAAAATTACATTTACTCCTCCCCCAAAATAAAACATTTTAATGCACTGGTGTTTGTGTGTGTGTGTGTGTGTGTGTGTGTGTGTGTGTGTGTACCACACCAAAACCAATCCACTATTACTGAGTCAATCCAGAAACAATACTTCTTAAATTTTTTTTTCATTTTAAATTGATTTTCATGAAAATTTACAGAGACTTTGGATTTCCATTCATTCATTGTTGCACTTTTCTCCCTGCCCACCTGTATACCTGAGCTATATGATTAAGAACTGTTTATAACCCTTCTGGCTTCCCAAGTCAAGGAGCATTAGCTGAGGAAGCTTGTTTCTGAGATATTAATTGTAGTGCCTTTGACAACTCTTTTTTGAAAATTATTTTTATTGATATTTTAATGAAAGTTTACAGAAAACTTGGGGGATGGGGAAAGAAATATGCTAACTACACCTTCTTTAAGACGTATTTGTTTGTTCTTTTGAAAGTCCAAGGTATATACAGTACTCTTCTCCAACACCACAACTCAAAGGCATCAATTAATTTTCTGCTATCCTTATTCATTGTTCATCTTTCAGATGTGTAGCAAGTGATTGAAAAAAACCATAGCCTGAATCAGGCACACCTTAGTCTTCAAACCTCTATCATTGCTCTTCAGTATTTGGAGAGGTCCTTGACAGAGGACTTGCCCCAAAACAATATAATTCCTGATCTCTTGACTGCTGGTGCCAAGGGTATTGATTGTGGATATTAGTAAGAGGAAATAATTTATAATTTCAATCTTTCATCCATATATCATGATTTTATATATTTGTTCAGTGGTAAGAATTTTTGTTTTCTTGATATTTAGATGTAATCCATAATAAAGATTGTATTTTTGTTTTACCTTCTGCAGAAAGCACTTCAAGTCCTCACTTTCAGCAAGCTATCATTGAGTCATCTTGTGATCTGTTTGTCAACAATGCTAATTCATTTTAGAATGTATTTATTGTCTTATTGAAGGGGAATATTTTTTCTTAACTCTTCTAGCTTCCAGGAGTCTCAAGTATTCTGTGGTTCATGGATGGCAGCTTCATATATCCACCTTTTCTCTAGCTCTGTCATTTCTCACTTCTGAGGACACCATCCAAATTGGATACTCACTCTTCTACACTATGCCCTCATATTCACTGACAATTTCTTCAAAGACCCTGTCTCCAGACAAGGTCACATTCATAATACCAAAGGATAGAACTTTAGTGTATCTTTTGGAGGAGCTTGATACAATTCATAAAGCTGTTATTTTCCTCTACCTATACTGACTAAGAGTCAATTCTGAGGACATCTGATTTCCAGCTACTGTTGATCTTGGTTTATCAGCCACTCACCAGAAGGTCCTGTGAAGGAAGGGCTTCCTTCGCATTCCCAAAACACCAAAGGCCAGAGAACCGCATTTATCACATCTTCACCTCTACCAAATACATTTAATCTGCAGAGAAGGTCCCCAAATTTTGCTGATAACCTAACTTCTGCGCTAATGTCATTTTCACAGAGGAGAATAAGTAAGTAATTAAAAGGTTAGGATGTTGCCATTTGAGTTTATACAAATGCATATAGTTCTGAATCTTTTTCTAAAATCAAACTGAATCATCTGCTATTAAAAATGTAATAGCCACATATAATTTATAACTTGTTTTTCAGTTGAAAAGGCAATATATTTTTCCAGTACATTTTAGGATCTTATTTCCAAAACTGTAAGATGATGAGTTTTCAATTTTGGGACTACTTTCTACATGCATGCATCATTTATGTCATTGATTTGTCCCCAGTATTTTGAATTATTTGATTGTCAGTTATTTATATTACTAAACATTTTCCAGGTTTGCATTTTGAATATTTTTTATGATGCTTAGAATTATTTCTGAATTTATTGAAAGAAATCATCCAGGCTTAGAGATTTGACATGTCATATTTGGTGGTGATGCTATCTATCACTGAGTTGTAACAGACCCATAGCTGACCCCCCAGTGGCTTGTCAGAGGCAGTTAATTGCAGAATGGCAAGAAATTGCCCATCCTTCTCTTGTGGAGCAGCTGGTGGATTTGAACTGTGTGCCTTCAGGACTACAGCTCAGTTTGTTGCCAGTGGGCCACCAGTGCTGTCATAATTACTCATATATAAAAAGGAAAATAGATCTGAAATAAATTGGCTTAGGTATTTCTTAACAGTGACAGTGAGATTACAGCTGCTGGCTGGCTGACTGCAATTTTAAAACCGTCTTGATATTTAAAACTTTTCTGGAGATCCACGTTTTTTTCTTTACATTATGACATGAGTGAGAGTTTACAAAGCTGATTGATTTTTTCCCTTCAATAATTAAAATATGTTTTGTTTTATAACATTAAATATGTTGTACTTTTGCTTAAGAAATAGGACAATTCTCACTTTATTGGAGTCCTTTGTGGATACTTTGTAGTTTCATTGTGATCTACATTAAAGTTTACAAAGTTGATTGGTTTTTCCTTCAACGATTCAAATATGTTTTGTTTTACAGCATTAAGCATGTGTGTGTTTTTGGTTAAGAAATAGGACACTGTTTATCACTCTATTAGAGTCCCTTGTGTATACTTTGTAGACTCTCCACCCTGCTGTGAATTTATCCTTTCTTTTTCTCTATCCATTTAGCAAGTATGTACCCCAAGTATTTATATTTTTCTGACTTACTTTTATTAAAGTAAGTCACACAATATCAGCATTGTGTGAGAGGCACTCATGTGGGCACGTGTAGCTATTCAGTTTCACACTTGTGATGTGCACTGAATGCATATGTCACAGTTTATCAGCTCTCTTTTTTAAGTGGATATCTGGTTATTTCTAGAGTTTTGCTAGTA